CAGGGACACAGGAAGTACCTCCCTCTCTCTCGGGGAAGCTAGGAGCACTGCAGGAGGTAAGATTTTATCTCTGAGCTCTGACCTCTCGGCTTTTCTCTTTTACCTTGGCTCTGTGTTTTTTATTTTAATAATACGATTGGTTACATCTACAGGCAGAGGCAGGCAGATCTCTCTGAGTTCGAGACCAGCCTGATCTACAAAGCGAGTTCTAGGACAGCGAGAGCTGTTACACAGAGAAACCTTGTCTCGAAAAAGCAAAAAACAAAACAAAAACCTCCCAAAAAGCTAAAACAAAAGAGACCAACCAACCAGCCAACAAAAATGTGTACTAGATATAATTGTAAATGTATACATATAAAATAATTTAAAAGAAGTTATGCCACTGCGATGACAATGATCCCCTAAGAGCCATAGGCTAATAAAATCCCCGGTGTCAGCCACGAAAACCCTCGATTTGGCCGTTGGTCAGGGTCCAAGAGACTCCGAAGCAGCGCAGGCCATTGCTGCTGCCCTTGACTGCCAGATGTGAACGTTAGAGCCTACTCCCGGATTCATACTCCTCCGACGTAGAAAACTTGAAGGCATCTAGCCGGACGTTCAAGGATTGAAGTTCACCCTAACTGCTCTCGATGCACATCAAGTCCCAGAGAGGCTGCTAGCCTGCTCAGCAGAGTCTTCCTTTCTCCTCCTGGCTCCTGCCGTCAGCCTGGCTGCTTGTTAGAGAAATAAATAGCCATAATCTCACCAGAACAGATGCCAAAAGAAAAACGGTGGCTCAGAATGGTGCGCCGGGGAGGCGCAGATCCGCCCACTGCGGGGAGCTTGCAGCTCTCAACTGCAGCACAGGCCACTTAGGGAGGCTCGGCGCTCTCCGGCAGTGGGCAGCGAGAAGCCAGCCTCACTGTGCGCACCAGTCTAAGGGGCAACCCTTGTGTTCCTAGAGAATACCAGCGCCAACACGAGGGCACAAAGGCAGGGGAGTGGAGAGTGCATGAACAAAGGAGAAGAGAAACCATCACCATGACTATATTCAAATGCGATCAGAGCTGTATTTCAGAAGAGCGTAGGAAGATAAAAATATCTAAATTTCACCTGTTTGTGTGCACACCCACCCACCGCCACTGCTTAGGGAAGGGCTGGCAAGCAGGAGCCGATGGGGAGCCGCTACCCCCGACCCCCCCCCCCCCGGCTGTCATTTGCTCCTTTACCTGGTGTCCCTTTCCCTGTCCAAGCCTGGTCCAGGTACTTTTCTTGGGAACTGAGTGCCTCGCTGTTTTTATTCACGAAAAAAAATCAACACTATTATTTATTAAAAGGAAGGGGGATAAGGCAAGATTTTTAAAACACCGGCAGACAAATGGAAAAGACGCGGAATGTCAGAGAGGTCAAGGGTGTTCCACCGGACACTGCATTGAGGGCAGTGAGCTGCTGTGGACTGTCTCCGGAGCATGTGATGGTGCGCCTTCCCTGCTTGGGACACGCTTTTTCTCCGGGAAATTTCTGGCCTCAGAAGAAAAGGGAGAAGTGGCTGGTACACAAAATGAGGAGGCGAGGGATGGCCGGCCCATGGCCGGCCCAGCTGCACACTTGGCACGGAACTGCCAATTTCTGGAAATTACCTTGGCTTTATGCCAACATCCCAGGATGCAAGATAGAGAGACAGAGGAAGAGGCAAGGTGGTCAAATGGATGTCTTAGGTCATACAGTTTTTCCCCATATTGCTAGTAGAGGATAATGTTATTAATTATTAATCTCAGAATTTTACTTTTACATACTAAGTAGGAATAAATCAAAGTTTTAGAAAATTTAGGTCCACAGAGTCTTCAAAACTGGATATAAATTTAAATTAAAGTGTGGTCAAAACTGAACAAAAAAATGTAAAGTAAACATTATTTCTGAGAGTTATTGGTCAGTGGTGAGCTCTTTCCAACCAATCTCCTGGCATTGTCTTATTTATTTATTTGCCCCCCTCCCCTTCTTTCTTCCTTAGACAGGGTCTCACTATGTAGCTCTGGCTGTCCTAGAACTCACCATATAGATCAGGCTGGCCTCTAACTCACAGCAATCCCCCTGCCTTGGCCTCCCTAGTATAGGATTGAAAGCATAAACTACCGTACCCAGCCTCCATGCATTTCATATTGATATCAAAATTATAAAGGTGTGAGACAGAAGGCCCGGGAGGAATACAGACCCGGGTCCAATTTATCCACCATTATACCATTGGCTTTTTTGGCTTGTTTGGGTGGAGTTTTTGTCCAATGGGTTGGTTAGTTGGTTGGTTGGAGTTTTTGCATTTGTTTATTTTGGACAGGCCTCATTATGTAGCTCAGGCTGGCCTTGAAATCACAGTCCTCCAACCCAGTCTGGGGGATGCTGGAATTCCAGAAATAAACCCCCATGCCTGGCTAACCAAATCTAGAATAAAAAGATACATACTCAACATACATATGAAACCCAGGGGGATAAAGGAAGAACCAGGGGAACACCAGCAGGATTTTCTTTTAAAAATGAAAAAAATGAAGAAGAAAAGCTAAGATCAGTCCATTGCCAGAGAGGTGTAGCAGGGCAGGCTTATGAAATGCATCTGAACCGATAAGGGAGCCGGAGACCTAGCAGCTCACAGGCCGGGGAGAGACAGGGAAAGAGAAAACCCAGACACTTGCAACTTCTCTTCAGAGTTAATTTCCTTTGCCTTTAACTACAGCAGCTATTTTTATACTCTAGGTTTTAATAAATCACAAAAGCAAGCAAGTTCAAAGCAGCTATGATATTTAAGAGAATATTAATACGCAGTCATTTTGATATTTGAGGAGAAAAAATAATTCCCATACTTTTAGCTTTGATATGGGTTAAATTAGGAGATTATTTTATTAATTTAGGAAACTATCTCTAGGAAAACACTGCTCATGGGAAAGGACAATTAGATAAATTTAGCGTCATTGTAGAACATGTGAGCTCTGGGCTCAAGCTGTCTGAGCCACTCACTCATCTTAGTTCCTATGCTTCTGTGTCCTAATGAGGGTTAGACAAGGCGACACCGCATGCCTGGCCTGGGGCTTGGTTCCAGAGCAGGCACCAATGAAGGTTTTTATTTATACTTTAATTCATAAACACAGGATTCTAAAATAAGGAAGCGTGCGTGCGTGCATGCGTGCGTGCGTGCGTGCGTGCGTGCGTGCGTGCGTGTATGAACAGCCCCAAACTTAGAATGTTCTGTCTCTGCCTACTGCATGCTGGGACTGTAACCACCATGCCCAGTGAGAATTATATTATTTACCATTATCTATATAACTAAGAATGAGCTCAAATGAGACTATGGATTTCTTAAAATCACATTTCATTCATTGTATGTGCCCACCCCCACACCTATAGGCCCCAGGGACTACATGGAGGTCAGAGGACAGCTTGCTGGAGCTAAATCTTTTCTTCCATCGTGGGAGTCCTGGGGACTGCGTTCAGGTTGTAGGCTTGGTGACAGGCGCCTTTACACGCTGAACCATCTTGCCAGCCCAAGATTATGAATTTGAAAACAAATCTATCTTTAAGTCACTGGAGAAAAGAACCTTAAAGTGGTCACGGAGAAAGGATGTTTCCATTTTAAGGTGAATAGACCATTTATTTCCAAGCAGTTCAGGAGATCAGACTGCCCAGAAATAAATGGTGACCTGCTGCTGTAGGGTTCAGCACCCTATCATGGACCCTGAACCTGAGACCATGCTGACCATTTCTAGAGTCTTTATGCCTTATTTAGTTTAAAAAAGGATGTAATTTGAAGAATTAATAACTCCCTCAGTGGTATAGAGTAGGGTTAGCACAGATATGTAATCTGATGATGAGAATAAAAACACTTAACAGTTCTAATAAATGCCATGTTGTCAATATAGACTTATGTCACATATTTCTTCTTTGCAGACTCAGTATGTTTCTAAAGGAGGAACCCCAGTCTAATTGGACTGATCTAGACTCCAAGTGTACTAGTGAAGTAACTTTTGGGGTGTACATAATCAGTTTTCTGAATTCAAATTGCCAATGTCTGGGTGGCCGTTGTCTATATGATGAATGAGTAGCCGAAGCAAGCCCTGTCATTAAAGTTCCCAGAGGTCCTCCGTTCGTCTAGGTCCTCTTAGGAAACAGAAGGCACTGTCAATGGGGCAAAGGGAAGTCTAATAAAATAAGAGATTGTTTACAAAGGAGCGGGCAGGAAAGGCAACAGGGATGCTCTGTGCCCCAGAGTTAACTGAGGCAATGGACTGTTGCCTGGACAAGGGAAAAAATGGTTGCCCATCTTGGAGATCATTGCTAGTGGTCACCCAGTAAGAATTTTGGCTTTTGATGAAGTGATGGACCAAACTGTGGTGACCTGAGAGTGCCAGAGGAATTAATATTAATCACAACCACATACTCCTGCTCTCTGAGATCCCATGGGTGCTTCTCATTGACTGAGCCCAATAGCACATCAGAAGCAAGCCATTTTTCCATGTCAACCTCTGTAGGCCCAGAACAGGGTGTTGTGTGAAGGTCCAAAAGTAACAATTCTGCCTAAGTAACGTAGCATCGGTGATCCACTTCCAAAGGCAAAGACATACTGGCCAGGGCTGGAAATGCAAGCTGCAGTGCTGAGTCCATGCTGCCAAGGCATCTCTGGATCTTTTGGTTTGCTGAGAAAACGGAAACTGGTGGCAGTCATTGACTTTATAGATGTGAGTATCCTTTAGAAAATGTCCTTTTCTGCCTGAGTGGATGTGTGGGGAAAATACCATTTATCCCGATGCTGGCCATGGCTATGAAGTCAGGTGCTGGCTCTAGGGAGGTGACAGATAATGTGCTGGTTAGCAAGAACTGTCTGGACATCCTTTCCCAGGGTCTAACTGGGTAAGTGTGGTCATTGTCTCTCATCAAGGAAACTTCTCTTCGCAACAGATGGAGACCATTTCAAAAAACCACAACCAATCAAAATGCAGAATTGTAGAGGCCTGTTCCAACTGCTACCCCTACAACACAACTCCTGCTCTAAGGCTAAGGGATCATTGTGGAACAAGGAATTTGCCGTGAGATT